GACTTGCAATTTTCACCAATGAATTGTGAAAAAAATTTTGGGTGAAATATTCTACTCAGAAAAAATTATAATTCTTGAAAAAATTGTGCCGGTAAGCAGAAGCCTTATAGCATACAACGGCTTCAATTATTTATTCAAAATTTGAAACTGGAAAAAAAGCACTCCGGAATGATTCGTACCAATGTGGGAACTAAGTAAGGTAAAGTATCCTAAGGAAAAATGCCTTGTCACGAATACTATGAGAGCACCAAAACAACAAAAAGAAAAAATTTCCAAAAATTATTCAACATTTGATTGTAAAGACTCTTTATATAGAATACAAGGAAAACATCTCTGTAATAGCACAAGCACTATAAGATAGCGCCAGATTGTGCTATAATGAAAGTTTTATGTTGTACCATGTTGCAATGCCCAAAAAAGGGCAATTTGTAGAAATCTCCATCATTTTCACAAAATTTCAAGAAAAAAATGTGATTTTTGCAAAGTACATGTTAAAAACTAATAGAAAATCTAGATAAATCTAGCTGTGAATTTTATTTGTCACACACCCCTGTCAAAATCTTGCTAACCAATGTTACGAAATTATTGTAGAAAATTCAGTAATATCTCCATAATGAATTACAATTTGGTATAGTCATTAGACCATTCTGTCCCTATTTTTAAAGCATTGGACTTATGATTTTTATTCAGATTCACTAACCAATACTCATTGAATATGATATTATCCAATAAATATTAGCAATAATTTTATATTATTGTGGTGCATCGGGCTAAGCATCAGAAATACACTTGCCACCGCACCTCTGATTACTCTGCATGTGTTCACAGGTTCAATTTCTGTGAAGATAATTAAGTGCTAGAGCAGGCCTGCACAACTCAAATTACTACGGCGGCCGCAAGCATAAATCTGAAGGCCCGGCGGGCCGCAAACTTTGCCACATATACATTTCACAAGATGAACTATAAATCAAAATAATATTGTGAAATAGCTAAATTTAATGAAACACTTTCATTACTGGGGGGCTTAAACCTTTAAAACCCATCCTTCATTTTCAATATTCCTTTTTCATTAGAATTAGGTATTGCGTGTTGCAGTATAAACTTACTGCGGGAAAATATTTTACAGGGGTTTAGTGTAAAATCGTCCCAAATATATGTATGACAATTTATTTAGTCATATCTACCATTATGGGATATTTCCATTGTAGGCTAGACAAACAAGTCGTTTAGTAGCAACAGATCTTCCTCTGTTGTACTTTTTCGACTTACTTATTACATTTTTCTACAAAATCTGCTCCAATTTATTTAAAATTTTACAGTAAATAGCAATATCTTTTGTGCGAGAATTTCTGTAACATTCATAAATAAAGGAATTATTTTTTAAGTTCTAAATCGAAAAGAATCCAAAAAGAAACTTCAGTTTCATAAACTGCTAGTAAAAAATAATGGGGTTTACGGAATTATTTTTTAAGTTCTAAATCGAAAAGAATCCAAAAAGAAACTTCAGTTTCATAAACTGCTAATAAAAAATAATAGGTTGCTAATATGCACTAATTGGTGTGAGATTGTATACCGATATTGTTTTGAACGTGATTCAGTCTGAATACTGAGATATCTAAATTTCCCAAACTGGGGGGCGCGGGGTCGAGCGATGAATTTTAGGGGTCGCGAAGGGCACACCAATTTCACACAAAGTTCGATATTTATTGAAACTAGTGCAAAACATAAATCTCACGATTTCGGAGCAGCGGCGCGCTTGCAGAACAATGCCGGTTTTGATTGTTAGACCCGAGAAGTGGCGTGTTTCCAAACACCCGCGGGCCGAACAGAAGTTGTGCAGGCCTGTGCTAGAGGATTGCTGAACTCCTCAACAATGTAGGGGTGGTTGAGGTAACCGCTGGTTGGTTACGGCTTCCTCCACCATCAAGTCCATGCATCTGGATATAAATGACCGGCTATCTAATCTCATACCCAACATTGAGTGGTAATCTAGCAAGAGGCTGTGGTATGACATATCATTAAGACATACTAAACTAAACTCCTACATTGTTTTGGGGAGCTTTTGTTGAACTCCAACATTTTAAACAATTAAAACCAGAGTCCTGATCTGGAGAATCTGATTTTGTGCAAGTTTATAGAAAATCTAACAGTCTTCAATTGACAGAGTATGAAGTTTTGTTTTTATTTATATATAACGACATACAATATTAAAGTGGTATCAAGTTATCAACCAGCAACTCTCTGGGTGCGCCATTCGATAGTTATAGAAACATAAGGATAAGATTATGATGGATAATAGAGTATGAATATTAACATTGGCATAAATATACAGCTTAGAATTTTGAGGTTTGTCACAACAACATTTTCACAAGCGGAAAACATCTTGAACGCTATCACACAGAAGTACATACAATGCAAAGCAAGCAATGCTTTTAGGTAAACATTAAGTTTTCTATTAAATGGGATATAAGGTATAACCATCATTGACTATACATAGTTACTACACATAGCTTAACTTGGAATTTTAATACCTGAGTGAACTATAATAATTTGTACAAGTAATGGAAAGACTTCATGACATACGAATAGTTCAAGGACTTTCGAACCCCTGTAACTGCTCCTATGCCTATGACTTATCTTTGAGAGGACTCACTTTTATTATTTAAGTATGCTCAATTCTTAGGCATAGCCCAGGGTGGTCCCAGGTTGTCAGCTTCGGAGGCCAAAAAATTATTTTTGCATTGTTCACAGGCCACAATAATGCAAAGAATGAGTACGGTAAGCAGCGCAATATGAAACATATACTTTTTTCGCGTGAACACATTGACCATTATTTGTGATTTATCAAGCTAAAACATGGGAAAATCACCATAAAACTTCATTAAACATGCAAAACACTTCCTAAATCAACATTTAGTATAAGATTCCAGGTTCTTTAATAATAAAAGTGCTTTTGCTAATGTAACATTGATAAGATTCCCAAGACAAAATCCCGTCGAAAAATGCTCATTGCTCGCAAGATTCCGAAATAGATTGTAGATTTTAGATTGTATTTTTTGGCACAACTGGCGGACATATCAAGCATTGTGGTATTTTTCTTCTCATATACAGTTGAAAATCTGTCTGAACTTTCTTTTCATACTCACAATTATAAAATAACTTACAAATAACTACAGTTTGATTGATTACCAACTTTTGCCAAATGTGAGGGTACAGGAGGGTAATTACTAAATTTTTCAATACAGAGGTGGCAGTTTTTGTAACACTATTTAGGCTGGACTATGTTGTTAGGTTCGGCCATAACAATAATATTTAGCTTTCAGTAAGAATACCCAACCTAGCCTAATAAGTTCGCCATTCGATTTCTAGTCTTCTATGTTGCCTATATTGTTAGCATACATTCCCGTTTGAAAAGATATAAAGCTATACAACAATTTAGACTAGCTGACCACATTATTCAACTTTGCTGGCTATTGTACCAGTCAATTTAATGACATTAGTGATGTGACAATATGTTAAACGATTATTCTGGTTATTTTTTTTTGACTAAAAAACATCAAATGATTTTTAATTACATTCCAGCCAATGCTGCAGGCATGATAATCATGCTGCAGGCCGTGGTTTGGACCCCCATGGCATAGCAAGTCCCTCCATCACTTCCCCTTCCCAAACTTTCTCAAGAAGATTTTGCGGCATTTGCAGTGAAACACAAACTCGCGAGTTTTTTCAACACTATTCCGACTCTACGGAAAATCTCATCTTGTATTTTGTCATCATATTGGTGAGAGCTGAAAATACCGCCTCACACATGTAGGCCAATGCATAAGACAATAAAATTTTAATTCTGCATGAAACTGGTTCAAGGCAATTTTGGGGGATATGATAATAAATTCATTCAACATCAGACGCGATTGACCACTTAAAACATGTCGGCCACCCATGGCTCAGTCCAATGGTTTTTTGCTTTTTTCAATTTCCCCAAAGTGTCTGAAACACAAAAAAATTTCTCCTGCTTTCCCAAATTAATTTTTGTTATATGCTGAGAAAGTCTGGACGGTTTTATTGCTACATAAAATTTTATGATACAACAAACGCATCGTTGCAAACCAGAATAAGCCATATTGGAGGTAAAGCTTACTACATTGCCTACATTTTCGCTTTGCAAACTCATTTTGGAGCTTTGAAACTAAGGCTATTAAAATGTTTCAATCTAAATCCATTAAATAAGCTGCATTGATCACTGTCTTCGATATTATCAACTTACACAACACAATGTCAGACACTGCATGACATCGCATCAGGCTAGATTTTAGCAATTCGAGAATTTAGGTATTAGATGTGTAAACTAGTTATTCAATGACCCAAGTAAGAAAATGACCCAATTTTGTCGCAACGTGGAGATGGTACCAATTTGATATCAGTGCTCCCTATCGCCCAGATACACAATCAGGGGTCTCCAATTGGCTAATTTGCAGTCAGACCCCCCAGTTGTCGCAAACAACAACCGCCCTTATGAGGGCAATTTTGCCCTCTCTGCTTCAAACGAACCAATCAAGATAGATTGGATAACTTCGACAGCGAAGTAAGTTTGTGGAGACCTTCTTTAAATTATCAGTGGCAGCTTGTACCTGGTCTTGTTCGGAGTGAAAAGCACGAGTGAGTCAGTGAGTGTGAAAAAAAATTAACCATTCCAAAATTATGGGCGAGCTACGTCCTTGGACTCATCACATATTGCAACCAAAGTGATTTCCCTGATACTATAGCGAAGGGAAAGTTAGTCTGAGCCAGTAAACTTTGATTTTAAATCAGAGCTTTCATCTTTGCGTAGAGTAATAATTTATAAAAAATTATTTTTATTGTTATGGGGATGAGTAGAAAATAAGAATTGATTTTTTCATTAAAAAAATTTATTTTGAAAATCATGCACATCACAACCAATGCTTGAAATTATGATAAAATATTCCAATCACAATCCAATAAGTTTAGAACTATATGTTTACCTTTAAAGAAGAACCCTTTAGATTTGACTTCAGGATATGAACCAACTCGGCATTGAGATCACAGTTTAGAAGACGAACAGATTCTAGTTGGCTGCAACGTCGCATGACCGATGACATGGCATGCATTCCGACTGTAGTGAAGGATTCGTGTGAAAAATTGATGTCCTTGATGCAGGAACGAATAAGGTCGGTGTCATTAGCTTCGTATAATGTCCCAAACAGCTCCAACTTTTCATACGATTTCATTTTTTGACTTGATTGAAATGCGAGAAATTTTCTTAGAACCTCTCTTTTATCATCTTGTCTGGCACCTGGTAATTATAAAAGTATCATGATTACCATATATGGTAGACGCAGGTTTGAATTGTGTGGGGATAATTATGGACATAAGGCATAATTGGACTTCGCAGAGTTATAGAGTGAAATAAAAAGTATCTGCTGATTGGTCATGGTTTGGTCATTCACTAGACTAGAAGGCCACAATTCAGTACATGATAAATCCTCCTTGTTGACTTTTCCTTTCAAGTAGTTAAATCCTAGTTGTCAAACTAATTCAAAATTGGTGTAAAAGACATGATCACATGAAATATTACTTAGAAGAAATATTACCAGAAGAAAGATTTGTTATGAGACTGCTTTCAATATCAGGATTCAGAATGATTCCACTTAGAAAACGACGAACAACTGCCCAATGATCGTCTCGAATCTCAGTTTCGATAAAGGTGCGAAACGTAGTAGAATCCATGCTTGAAATATAGAGAGCGGACAATACTTCTTGAAGGATTTGATGGCTGAAGAACATTAGATGGTCTCCTTCCATGAGATGCTGATTGAACATATTTTTCCCAGGTACCTTGATGACAAAGTCCCGAACCTCAAGAGGACTAAGCTTTACTTTTTCGAGATCCTTGATTGTGAAAATGACTCGTTTTTCTTTTGTGCCTTCGAATGACATTTGCATCAGTTTCTGGAGTATTTCTTCAATATGTTCCTTTTTATGGGCATGATCTGATCGCATGAAGATGTGGAGGATTTGTAGCATTACCGCAGTCATAGTATCTGGTGGATTATCTGGGTTGTCCTTGCAAACGATTGCATTGAATATTAGGAAAAGAGGAACAGATGATAACGGGATAAGTGCGGGTGACTGCACTGTTAATTTCTCCCAAGCTTTTTCACCGCTGTCTCCTATAATTGCAATGAACAAACGCTCGATATCATTTTGAGCCAGACCAGCGAGGGCAGTTATGAATTGCGGCCTCAATTCTGATGGGAGTGATGCCACTCTGAACTCGCGCGATGAAATCACGATCGTCATGTCAGGAAAGAGATTGCCTGTTATGATATTGTACATGACAGTTGCTGTGCTAGATTTATCATTATATTTCATCTTGTTGTGTTTTCCGAAAAGACTCCAAGTTGCTTGATCAAGTCCGTCAAGAAAAAGAATTGACTTTGATTGATTTTGTTGCAGCCGTTCATAGCCTTCTTCCAATTCTTGTGGTGATAGTCCTGAAGCTTCTTTTCCAAAAAGAAGTTCACATGGACTGATGGCTTCATCTCGTGTAGTTCCTTTCAAAACGGGGATATCTTTGATGTTCAAGTGATGAATAAATTCAAAGCGATGTTCCAGCTGCAATGCTTCATCGGCTTGGGCTTCTTCTCCTAATTTGTTTATGATATGAAGTGTTCGTGCGAGGCGTTTCATACTTGTTGATTTCCCGCCCCCTGCCTGTCCCAATATGGCAATATACCTGTATTTTTTGTTGCCTAATTGTTCTATGAGTTCATTCTGAGAAATAGGTTTTCCAACTTTTTCTTCATTTGCTTTAACAGTGAATCCAGTCTCGATATTATATTGCCTAGTCTTGGGGGCCATTCCTCCTCTGTAGAAAAGTGGCACTTCTCTAAGTTGGGGATTTACTTCAAAGTCTGGTTCGTTTAGGTTTAGTTGTTTGTAATCTTCTGTGATTTTCACTTTTGTTTGCTCCAGGGTTCTCTTGTTGAAATAATTGATAAATTTTTTTGCATGCTTTCTTCGTTTCCTTTTTGCCTTTTTAACATTTCCTTTTTTTGTACGGATTCCTGAATAAGATATGAATGCATTTAATATTCAGGTTAAATAATGTTGTTATTGATATTGACATTATATACAGGTCTATACAAATATGTGACTTGAGAAAGTCAATGAAATCAAGTATTTTGTAAATGTTTTGAATTTGTACTTTGGTAATTTGAATGTGTTCATAGAAATAAACTCATTTCTGGTTGTTTATGATGATGCAAATGTCCAGCCTTCACCCAGCATTCAATTAATCAAATATGAAATTCTTTGTTCTATCAAATCAAAATAAACACAAAGCATTAAAATAAAAAAGAATGAATATGAACGAGGTCTTTTTTGACTAAAAGTCTATTTTGCTTGTGTTTTTGACTGTGCGAAACATTTCTAAATTTTAAAATAGGACCATAGAAGGGCAAATTGTAAATACAGTTTGCAACAGACATGTGAAAATGTGGGACTGAATATTTTCTTTGTGAATAAAAAACATCCTCAATATGTACTTGATGATAAGTCCGTTTTTGATAGTAATTTAAGTGGATGCGCTGGCAAGAAAGCAAATTTCTTATGGACCGCAAAAAAACAGCAGACGGGAACCACTGAGCTAGAGCAGTATCGCGTTGATCGCTGTTCATTGTCACATAATTGAGATAGCTCTTGAATATTTGAGCGAAGTAAACTAAAGCAATATCACTCTTGCACATCTTTCAAATCTAAGTGCCAATTATTAACAACAAGCCGGTAGGCAGGGATGGCCAATACCGAATAATTCACAATTTCGAATACATTCAAAATTATTATTTTCGAATATGAAATTTCGAATACTTCGAAAATAAATAAATAAATGGCGGAATTAGCATACAATGAATAATGGAATAACCGTTAACTACAAGCTGGCTACCAGAAAATTTATATCCGCCGAATGCCGTGATATTTTATAGTACTAGTTTAGGTATGAGAGCGCGAATCAAAATTAATTATAATAGGGCAGTTTACCATTAGTTTTGTGTCCACAGATCGCCGTGGTATTTCAAAGTTACTTTAATAAAAGACGACGCAACCATGAGTTAGGCTACATTGAACAAAAGTAAATCAATACTGAAGGCATTTTAAATGATGTTTGTAAATTAATACTGAAGGCATTTTAAATGCTGTTATCGGTCATGGATTTAGGGTGAATATTTTGCACAACAGATAAGTCCATACTTTTAACAATCATTATCAAAACTATTTGCCGAAAGTGGGTAAAAGTATAAATTATTTTTTTGTGAGTTCGAAAATATGAATCAAAAATTAATTGTAATCCAGCATTTTACCACACACTATATATTTCCGCAGATTATCGCGTTATTTTAAAGTTTGATGCTTTAGTTTTTCGTAATTATAATCAGGCAGTTAACACACATTTTATGTCCACAGATTGTCGCCGTATCTTAGACTTAGAGTAGTAATGCATTAATTTATTCGTGAGTCGGCAAAACTATGAGTTACGTTAAACACAATTAAATTAATACAATGAGTCATTTTAAATGCTGTTATCGGTCATGGATTTGAATATTTTGTCGCAACATAAAATCGTCTTCGTTAAAAGTCAATATTTTCAACTATCATTATCAAAATTAGTTTTCTAAAGGCGTGAATTTGAATATTTCGTCGCAACGGTAAATCATCATAATAAAAAGTCGATACTTTTGACTATCGTTATCAAAATTATTTGCTAAAAGCGGGAAAAAGTTTAAATGATTTTTTTCTAATAAATCAACTCGTTTTTTCGGACTTGAGACAATTTATTGGGCATCGTAATTTCTAACAAAGCGCACGACTTAACTTATTTAATATCTGACTATTTGTATTTATGCGAGACCCGTGACTCAATACAAATGAATGCGTAAATGAGAAGCCTTGAGGGAATGGCGATAGTGCCAATCTCGCGACTGTGCCAATCTCGCGACTGTGCAAATGTGTCGCAACAATACGGGGCTCGCGCTCGCACAGAGGATAACGAACAATCAAAGTGCCGATACTATTTCACCGTCATTGCATTACGCGACAAAGCGTGCAAAATCGTTTGAAGATTTCTCTTTAAAACGAAACACCATGTTGACGGCAAAAAGTGGCTAATGTTCGGAATTATTCGAAAATCAACCGAACAGATATACATTCGAATATTCGATTCGTTTTGGATACCCTGCCGGTAGGTGCCTAAGATCTTCGCTGATACTCGAGGCGGCTCTTACTCCAGCAATCCGTTACCATCCATTCAAAATTGCACCTATTACAAAACCGTACTACAGTGACCGCGTCACCAATACTATTCATTTCAAGCGCTGTTCGTCTAGTCCACATTCTTGCATACGTGGTGTGGTATACTGGGACTAACAAATAAAACATGTTTACTAAAATTATTAAGACTTCTCCAGTTTTTGGTTTATTGAGATGAACAATGGCTTGTTCGGAAAAGTATTTCCTGCCGCGGAGGGTAGCGTTCTCAAAATTTCAATTTTTGAAATAGTTAACCAGAAAACAGTAGAAAAATGTGAGAAAATTTGAAATTTCCCAACGATCGGCGTGTTTTTTGCTGCTGCCATGGAAACGAAACATCCAATCCGAACTTTTGGTAAAACGCACATTGGGAGGACAAATGACCCAATGTGAGAAATTCTATCCAGATCGGCCCCGCCCCAGGAGACGCTACAGCTAGACAAACAGACAGTACGACTGGGAATCGGGTCGCCTAGATCGAATCATTACAAGTGTGTCAATCTGCCTAAACTAAGTATGCAAAGCACCCTGTGTCTGATAACTAATAGATATCATTATACAATTACCTGATGGTGTAGGCACCACTTCATAGACTGGACATGGAAAATCATTCGAAGCAAGTTTGGCATCAGTGAATCCCTCCATTGTTTGAGCTCTTGTAGTTTCACCTGAAGTAAATTATAAATATAAACTGAAATAGTTGTCTGAATCACTGAAATTATTCTAAACTCATTCGAATCATATTTTGAACTTAGCATCAACTTTCCAGCGTTTTGTTGTCATTTGTCTAAATTATAATTAAATTATAGGCTCATTAAACGAGTAATTGTGAATTATATACTTGTTACGTTATAATATAATTCAGTCTACACGTAAATCGACAAAACAGCTATAATTTGTTACTATAATTCAGTGAAGCGTCGCGGGCCGGATTATATAGCTCCGCGGGCCGTAGGTTGCCGACCCCTGACATAGAGTGTTCAGAATGGCTTGTTGAAAAATGAAATAACTCTACTCAAAGGACATAGTCTGTTTAAAATCATCCCAACTCTGATTACCATGTGTGGGTTCGAATTCAGGGACAATTATGTGCAAGAATATTGCTGGACTTCTCGCCGGCGTAGGGTGGTTCATGTAACCGGTGGTCGGTTACGACGCCCTCCACTATCAAGTTCATGTATCTGAAACAAATAACTGCCTAACTTATCCCATACCCGAAATGGACTGGTAACTGGAGTAGAGGCCATGGTTTGCCATACGATGAAGTCATTTTATCAAATTTCCTCTCCCCCAAGATAAATATAAATAAATCCTATCCTGCATTAACATAAAAACCATAGTCAGCGTATACAAAATAAAGAAATACTAGTCTTTTCACTAAGCTCATTGGAACAAGCATGACTGATTAAACAGAGTTTTAAAATCTGTCTTATACACAGTAGAAGCCCAAATCTTTTATTGTTCATAAAACTTCTGAACGAATGCTTGTAATTTTGCTTTAAATTTATTGCATATAAAAATTCTTGATTCATACGTGAAGTGGACGGCATTTCCTCTTGCATAGTCCTGGGAGATGCTGCATCATGTTGTAATTGAGGTTGTAGTGCAGCTGGTGGAGGTGGCGCTGTTGGAAGTAATTAAGTTTAATAAATATATTTTGACACTAAAGCTGAAAATATTTTGTTTCTAGACTCGAATCAAAGTTGAATGCTTAATAGTAGACTATCAGTTAGGAGTAAACTTAAATAGTAGGTCAGTTTACATGGCAATAGTTTCCGTATCAACAGCAACAACGAAAAATAAATGCTGTTTATAAGTTCTCATTGATTCTCTGATTGTTTTCATTTAAGTTTTTTGTCATCATGTTTCAAGAGCTTACCCAATCTAAGAATAATGCAGGCTGTATAATTATCAACTCAGAGGTGTGTTTGGTATAAACTGAATTATAGACAAAAAAAAACTCAGTAATGGCGGTACACTCAAAATTATTAAAGTTTCCAATGTGTAAATTACCACTTGGTGTTAGATAGATTACTGGGACTCTTCTGTGACTTGGGGTACCTAAAATTGAATACTGCTAATGATAACAAATTACATCAAAAGAGTGCTACGCTTTGACGTATGGCATTAGAGTAATGAACAGATTTTGTATATATAAGAATTATAATTCGTATACGAATATTAAAAAAAATTGCCGATAACTTTGACAAAAAAGGGGCGAAGAGGCAATTTTTGAGCTCTGATAAAGTCTAAAACTGGGCAGGTGCTGAAGTGTGCAACATTTTGAAAATTTATCGCGCCAAAAGCATTATCCGCGATCTTCCGTCACAACACTAGTTTTATCACTACGTTGCTATTCAATGGGATGGTGAATAATATAATTTCGTTTGCACTCAAGTAATCTGCCATAAGACAAATGTTAAGTTGTTGGGAATTCCTATGATGTTAGTTATCAATATTACCATCCTGATTGCCATATGTTTCGTTCCTTTCAATATTTTTTCGCGGGTACGACAGATTTTTTTTAATGTTACCGGTTCGTAGTCTAAAAAGGTTGGGAACCACTCATATATATATTGCACCAAAATATAGATTACTTCTAGAAAGCCGGCCTGAACTTATTTTTATTAAGGCATTTAATTACTTAATGAAGCCAAACTTCATGCACAACCAAGGAGTTAGTTCTTTGAACCCGAGGTGTTGTCTGGTATGTATATGAAACTGAAAACCTCACGTGTGTCTAGAACAAGGATTGTTTAGAAATTACATTCAAATTTTACTCCTAACCTTCAGGGAAAAATAGCTCGCATAATGAATATTTCATTCTAAATATAGCCGATTTTACAAATTAAAAAACATACCATCATTGTCATAGTGTACATGAAGGTTCTGAACATTGTCTGCATGAATGAACTCTGCATGAGCTTGTTGAATGTCACCCACTTGAACTATGTCTGCCTGAGCATGAAGCCGATTTACATTGGCTGCATGCAGTTCATTGATATGTGCGTCTGAAATAATATGTACATAAATCGTGAATTTACTACATTTCTTATGTTGCTTTGATGAACAATGTCCCTCTATTCATTTTAGAAATACAAAATGGAATTTAAGATTCAAAACTGAAATTTAAATTGAAGCAGAATGTCCCTTACAATGAAATATCCAAAGTAGATTCTAATAAAGCCAAAGTTACTGAAATGAACAAAGTTATCACGAAAACGGATACTAGGCAGCTAGTAATCAAATATCAGACCTAATATGATATAAGTTTTAGAAAATTGTAAATGCGTATTAGAATATATTGCAAGAAATTCAACTAAATCTCACCTTGAATGTTCACATTATTAGCTCCCTCTTGTGGCTGACCTTGATTAGCCATTTTCAAGACATTTAAACAACCAGTCTAAACATAAAAAGATCAACAACGCATTAGGAATTATATTTCTTTCAGTATCTTCATATAAAATGTCGCCCACTTATATACTATTTCCAGAATCTACTTATTCACATCAAATTTTACAAACTCTTTAATCAAGATTTCGACGATTTGTCCATGAAATGTAAAATACTCTCTTAAAACCCAGTCAATAATATTCTTGTTTTTACATGGCATATTTGTAGCATTTCCAAGTAGCAAATTCTGAATAGCTTGGATTCACGAGGCCATATTTATTCAACCAAGACTCGGTTTGTGGTTTATCTTACCGTATATTCCGATAGAAGTGATTCACAGAGTTGGTATTAATCCAAGGTAAATCAATATCTTGAAATCCACTTTAGTGAACGGAATTATTTTAAAACGTGAAAACTCCCATTTCTATTGTAACTATTTTACGTTTTATTTAACCTTCATAGTTCCAATATCTATTGAATATAGAAACACAAATAATTTAGGTTTAGTGTCCAAAATTATATCTAAAACAGAGCTCAAGGTATATCTCAAATATCCCAGTCACAAAATTTACAATCAAAACACTTTTACATGGCATGCATATCGCCCTTCTGTTAATAAATGATACAACAAAGAATTAAGTTTGGTCACACAGGCCTTTTCCTATTTCTAGATTTATAATGGCAAATAAATCTTTTGCATATCTCATGCAGTGGCTCTCTTGATACTTGTCCTCAATTTGAAAAGAAGTTGAAAACAATATATATATTGTATTTGCACTTATCCATATTGCGAAATAAATTGCTCAGTTTCAGATGGCAAGGTTTAGATATAGTTCCTGGTTCATACAATAGTGAATCCACTTCAAAAATTTAGTAATACCGTAGTATGTGTACCAGGTTAGGCCATATTTTTATTCCGAGTTTCCTAATATGAGGTCTATTACGAGTTCGGGGACTGTATGTTATACAACTTGATGTAAAGTAGGCGAAAAATATTACACATACTTCTGCAAAACATTTTACTATTTAACAAATTATGACAAAGCTGGGACAAGTTTTTGTAAACCAATGAGGCAAGAAAGGGAACTAACAAGTTAACATAACGTGTTGAGAAAACCACTGAGAAAATTTCAAAACTCGGAGTGGGTTTTTATAAGGTTCTTTTTTATATGACCGTTTGTGTCCACAGGCATTAAATTGTTGCCCTGAGAGAGTGTATCGAACTCTCTGACATATATAAATGACTTGAGGAATCGACTTAACTGAGATGAATAACTGCGTGCATATATCGCATCACAGGAGAGAATCAACAACTTATGGTAAATACCGTCATTAGTTCCAAATATTTTCAATTAATATTTTCTGTAAATACAACGATAGATTGCACCATATGTTTCACAGGGTGGGACTTGAAACAACTCGACGCACAATGAGCCCGACTTACATTTCTGAATTTGATACGACTAATTAAACATACAAACAATTGCTATATAAACACAGGCAGTAGATGTGTGACACTGTTAGAACTATGCGCAAAAATAATGTGAATACCTAGCAATTGGCTGAAATCATGATTCCAATATTCTGTATTTAATCAAAGAGCGGTTAACCGTTTATATGTTGTTCTATTCAAAGAGTGGTTTGATTTACCGCAGTATTACATAGGACGGACGGAAGGACAGAACAAGGATAGTAAGACACTAGCAGGAAACAATAATATAATTTTTTTTTGCGTCGTCTCGGCTACTATTTAGTAAGATTATAGAATCCAAACCCCAAATGTGAAATATTTAATGTTCACGTTCTGTCACGTTCGATTCGCATCACAAACCAATGAACGAATAGTCTTGTTGGACAACAACAATATTATTGGTTTATTTACGACCTCATGGCATAAATCATAACTCCTCTCGGTGGAAATATTAAACCTCGATAGAGTGTTCAAAGATTTTCTTTCGTCGCCATAGCAACTCGTTGCCAATTATGAATCGCCCATTCCCCGCAGAAACTCGAGACCCAAAACAACTCAACAAACAATTGATTCCAATCGAATTACGTAATTTAACCCGGAACAAGCGTTACTAAGCACGCTTTGTACTTTTTACATTTTGATTAGACGCACATGATTAGAGAATTCGTAAAACGAATTGTGATACTTTTAAATAAAAGAAAATAAACAACATTAGTATTCATATCGGCTCTCACATTTATCAAAATATATTGCACTGATTTTAAGCCCTATCTTGTTTGATAGGGGGGTATTTTTTACAAAACTAATGCCCCGCAACTAATGCAAAAATGTGATATTTCAGAGAAAAACAATGGGCCCGCATTACGCTTCTAAACTCGTTGCCAATGATGAATCGCCCATCGCAGAAAATCAAAACCCCAAACAACTCAACAAACAATTGATTCCCCTAATATTTCGACATTTAATCCGTAAAAAGCGTTACTCATCACGATTTTACTTTTTACTTTTTGATTAGGCGCACAAGCTTAGAGAATTCGTAAAACGAATTGTGATACTGAATTAGTTAACAAAATATCGGACCCACTCAACGCAATTTTAAAGTATCGTTCGAATATAGAGAAACGTGAATTTTTTCTTTCTGAAATATAGTTGCTTTGGAAGTGTATCGAAAGCTTTGATAGGCTACTTGAGGTCGAATTGGAAGAAATCAACATGACCGCGATGAATCTATGTATTATATTACAGAGAAGAAAACAAATACTCTTATGGTAAATACCCCGATTAGTTTAAAATATTTTCCGTCAATTCATTCTAATTATCCCGATAGATTGTACCATGTTTCACAAGACGGGACTTTAAACAACTCGACGAACAATAGGACCGACTTAAAAAATTTTAAATTTGATTCAACTAATTAAACATACAAACAATTGCTACATAAACGCGATCCTATTTTGTATGAGTTGTGTGACACTGTAAGAATTATGCGTCAGAATAGTGTGATTACGCTGAAGTCATCATTCCAAAATTCTGTATTTCATGAAAGAGCGGTTAACCGTTTATGTGTTGTTTTATGCAAAAAGTGGTTTCATTTACCGCGGTATTACAGATAAAGGGCGGAACAAAATAGTAAGACACTAGCAAGCAACAATAATATATATATATATTCCTCTTATTTACGACCTCATGGCAAAAATCATAACCCCACTCGGAGGAAATTTTAAACCTTGTTGGGATGTTCAAAATTTTTATTTTTTGTATTGCCATAGCAACTCGTTACCAATGACGAGTCGCCCATTCCTCGCAGAAACTCGAAACCCCATACAACTCAACAAACAATTGATTCCACTCGAATTTTGATATTTAATCCAGAACAAGCGTTACTGAGGACGCTTTTCACTTTTTGATTAGTCGTGCAAAATTCGAGAGTTCGTAATACTAATTGTGATAAATTTGAATTTCCCGCGCAATCTGCATTCCTAACATCAATTGAATAATTACTAATTTACTCATTTTGAGAGTTGGCGGTTGTTTATTTCTGGAGTGGTCTCTGTACAATAGATCCGAATGGCATTTTTACAAAACAAATATTACCGGTGAATTAGTTGACTATATAACGGACCCGTTCGACGCAATTACAAAGAAATCTGCTCTTGCATATTTTTGCTCACAGGAGCCCTCAAGTGTTCTCTCGCACAATTACCGTTGCTTAGAAACATATTAAACATAAAAAGGCTCGACATTCATTTTTGTCAAATAAGACATATTCTACAGCACTTTGACAACATTCACGGCTCAAATAGCATTGTTCAAATATAGTTTGGCATAGTTTGGTTCATCTATGGATCGTACTGTTGCCACAGAAAATACGCTTCTATTAATACTTTCGTCAATAACCATTTTACACGTAAAAAGTTATTACTGTTCGAGTGATGAAAGATTGAAATGAAATCTTTAGCTGAAGTTGAAGACAACATTCTAACAGAAGCCATTGTGCTCACACAAGTCACTACTACAAGTCACACTTTCCAAACGGCCAGGAGGCAGGACACGAAGGATCGAAAGTTGCTTTTTCTAAAGTATTGTTGCCCTGGAAGTGTATCGAAATCTCTGATACACATGGATGATTGAAGGAATCGACATGATTCCTATTAAAGCCTGTCTATTTATTAAGGGAAAAACACAAACACTCCCGTGGTTAATACCCCGATCAGTTCCAATTATTTTCCATCAATACTTTTCCTAATTATACCTAGATTGCACCCTATGTTTCACATGACGGAACAACTGGACGCACAATGGGCCAAAATTGCATTTCTAAATTTGATACGACTTAATAAAAATACGAACAATTGCCATTTAAACACAATTATATATTTATCATTGAAGCAAAAGTTGTGTGACACTGTTAGTACCATGCGTGAAAATACTGTGAATATCTAGCAATAGTGCAATGTCACTGAAGTCATCATTCCGATATTCTGTTCACAGGGTTAAAGATAAAAATACGATGGAACATTTCAAAGATAATTTAGTTCTTAATAAAACCTGGGATACATTCCTCGCAGAAACTCGAAACCACAAACAACTCAACAAACAATTGATTCAGCTCGAATTTCGACATTTAATCCAGAACAAGCGTTACTAAGCACGCTTCTACATTTTGATAAGGCGCACACGATTCGAGAGTTTGTAAAACAAATTGTAATAAATTTGAATTTCCCGCGCAATATGCATTCCGAGCACGAACTGAATATTCACTAATTTTCTTATTTCAAGAGTTGGCGAAGTGTATTTTGGTGGTGGGGCGTTGTACAAAAGATCCCAAAGGCAAATTTTCTAAACAAATAATTAACGGTGAATCAGTTGACAATATATTGGACCGGCATGACGCAATCACAGTAATCTGCTTTTTTTATTCTTTCTCACAAGAGCCCCCAAGTGTTTTCTCTAACAATCACCGTTGCTCAATAACACAATTAAAAACAAGAGAGCTACGCACAAATATATGGACACGTTAGACCAGAGCGAATCAGTCTTTACCGGTACCTTTGACGCTACCGGTACCCTCAAAAAAGTTCTGAATTTCCAGTAGCAAGAATTTTGCAGAATCAAAACGTACAGCCAGTCATGACACTGACTAAAATCCGTGTTCCCATGGATAAAAAATAATACAGCAAAATTATAGACGGAATATCAAATTTCATAGAATTCACGCAAAATTTTGAAATAAATAAAAGTAATAGCCTTCTAGCGAAGAAATTAATCTTTAACCACTGAAAATTTCAAGGCAATTGGTCCAGTATTCGAAGAGAAAAGCGATGTTTTAAAAACGTGTCAAAGAACAAGAACAACAACAACATAATATTGAAACGATCGTTATGGCCACTAAACGTGTCCAATAAGAAGACTCGACATATCTTGGTCAAACAATACAATTTCTATAGCACTTTGACAACCTTCCCGACTTTTGTTGGGGTA